CACTGCGTCAAAAGGTCGCGACTATCCTTAACAAACAAAGGATAGTGTCCTCGAATCCGCTCTATCCTCCAATTCTCCTTCTTCACTCCCTCGACTTGAGCCTCTTTGATCATATCCAGCAAAGGAGAAATCACCGTCATCCTTATACAAATGTTCCCAATCGGGGACCTCGCCGTCTTGCGGCTCATTGCATCGGCCACAACGTTGGCCTTCCCTGGATGGTATAGGATCTCACAATCATAATCCTTCAACACATCCAACCACCTCTTCTGACGCATGTTGAGGTTCTGCTGATCCATCAAATACTTTAGACTCTTATGATCGGTGTAGATGGTGAACCGTACTCCATATAAATAGTGCCTCCAAATCTTGAGGGCAAACACCACCGCCCCCAACTCCAGATCATGTGTGGGGTAATTCGCCTCGTGAGGCTTCAAGTGCCTCGAAGTGTAAGCAATCACATGCCCCCTCTACATCAATACCGCACCCAACCCTGAAATCGATGCGTCACAATATACCACTAAATCATCCAACCCCTCAGGTAGAAATAGAACCGGAGCCTCGTATAACCTCCGCCTCAGGGTCTCAAAAGCCATCTGCTGATCCATATCCCACCGAAAGGTCGCATTCTTCTTGGTCAAGCGGGTCAATGGCACAACAATCTTGGAAAAATCCTGGATAAATCTCCGATAGTAGCCCACTAAACCCAAGAAGCTACGAATCTTTGATGTATTCCTCGGTACTTCCCACCGCATTACACCCTCCACCTTGGCTGGATCAACCGAAATACCCTCTTGGTTGATGACATGCCCCAAAAACTGTACTTCCCGCAGCCAGAAATCACACTTGGAGAACTTTGTATAAAGTTTATCCGCTCTCAGGGTCTCCAATACCTCCCTCAAATGTTGCTCATGCTGCTCCCTGGTCTTAGAATAAACCAGAATATCATCAATAAAAACGATCCATGACCGATCCAACATCGGCCTACATACCCGGTTCATGAGATCCAAGAACGCTGATGGGGCATTGGTGAGCCCAAACGACATCACCACAAACTCATAATGTCCGTATCGAGTCCTGAAAGCCGTCTTTGGTATATCCTCATCCCGAATCCTCATCTGATGATACCCGGACCGAAGATCAATCTTGGAGAACCAAGATGCACCCTGAAGCTGGTCAAACAAATCATCGATCCTCGGCAAAGGATAACGGTTCTTCACCGTTAGTTTGTTCAGCTCCTTGTAATCAATGCACATCCTGTGCGATCCGTCCTTTTTCACGAATAAGATCGGTGCTTCCCATGGAGAATTGCTCGGACGGATGAACCCTCGGTCTAGCAGCTCCTGAAGCTGCGTAGATAACTCCTGCATCTCGGGTGGTGCCAACCGATACGGTGCCTTTGCTATCAGGGCGGCACCCGACACCAAGTCGATACGAAACTCCACTTGCCTCTCTGGAGGCACCCCTGGTAACTCTTCGGGGAAAACGTGCCGAAAATCCTGTATTACCGGCACACTGTCCACATCCGTCACAGTCTCTACTCTTGTATCTGAGACATAAGCCAGAAATCCCGTGCAACCCTGCTGTAACAAGGTTATTATAGGTATGGATTGGCTAAGCCCCAATAGGGCGGTGATTGACTGCCCGCAACAGTTGGTGCGGATCAGGACCCCAAGTGGGGGAGAGCTAGTGATTCAGGGCGAGAGGCCACAACGAGGACCAGCCTTATGTTCAGCAGCGAGACCTAGGCGCTACCTTCAGCAGGGTTGCGCAGGATTTGTCGCCTATGTTATGGATACCCGGGAGGCGGGTAAGGCGACGGTGGGCGATGTGCCAGTGGTACGAGAGTTTGCGGATGTATTCCCCGAGGAGTTGCCCGGGATACCTCCGGAGAGACAAGTAGAGTTCAGGATCGACCTAGTCCCTGGTGCGGCTCCGATAGCCAAGGCACCGTATCGGTTGGCTCCTCCTGAGATGCAGGAGTTGTCTACACAGCTGCAGGAGCTGTTAGACAAGGGATACATTAGACCGAGCAGTTCACCTTGGGGAGCCCCGATTCTGTTTGTGAAAAAGAAGGACGGGTCGCATCGGATGTGATAAACAATCTAAAAAGACCCAAATGATTTGATTGTGATAAACAATCTCGTTGAATTTCCTAATTGCATAAGTCCTCCAGGTGTTTCTTGATCTAGCAACGATCCTCAATTCTTCAAAATAGTACTGCATCAAAAGGCCACAAAACATAGAGCTAAATTAACATTTGTTTCTGAAATAAACTAAAAAGATAAATAAGAAAACAGGGATTTGAATGAAACAAATATGCCAAAACAACAGCAACAACAAATCAAAAATATATAAAAGAATCCCAAAATCTTTATGACTCTATAAAAGTTAAAACACATCCCATGGAAGCTTACTCTCAGAAATTAAACCACCACTAGTTAGTAAATTAAGGTGTAAAGAAAAAAACAGATAAAATACCTCTTCACATGGATTCCCACTTGTTCATCACCTCCGTTTTTCCTAGTTGAACAATATTGGCACATGCATCGGTATGTGACAAAGTCTCTTGCAACACTTTCCTCAGATTGTTTCTTGCACTTTCATTTTTCAAGTAGTCTCCATCAGAACCAACGCTACATAAAGCAGCATCAAGCTCCTGAATTGAGGATTCCACAAGTTTAACTTTTGAGTTAATGAGAGAGCCGTATGTGATGACCGATGTTGTAAAATCCTTTGACTTGTCAAAAAGTGTTGCATCTTTATGAAACTTGGATGATGACCACTTTTTGCCGAAGTGAGTCACTCCCCCTATGAAAATTCCTAAGCCACTCAACCAACAGTGGCCAAGGAAATACAAAGATCCAACAACAATTACAAATCCAGCTATCATGAAATTCCATGATTGGTTAGCCCCAGTCTTGTCCCTTTTTGCTTCCTTTTGTAGTTTCTCTATCTTAGCAACAAACACTCTCGAGGAAGAGAGTAAGCTAGAAGATCTCCCGTGCAGATATCTGAGCTCAACCAAGAGGGCAGATGGTCCATCATATTTATAATCCATGGTAATGTCTTCAGTGTCTCCACTTTGCTTCTTCTGGTACTCACAAATTCGTTCGAGCAGATTTGATAATTGATAGCAGATTTTAAAGAACTCGTCTGCCATTAGATTCTCGTGCCCATCAACTGCCCCAAGCACTACATTTTGATTCCGACGAATAAAATCAGGAGCTATCATCCGCTGCATTGCAGCGTCACCACCAATCATAAAAATATTTCTATATTTTTAATAATACTTATTCCTAAATATTTCTATATTATTTAGTTTATTTATAGATAATTTAATAATACTTAGTCCTAAATGTTTTTTTCGTCAAATTAATGAGAGAGAGAGAGTATATATATATATATATATATATATAGATATATATATATATATATATATATATATATATATATATATATATATATATGGGAAAATGACGTATATGCCCTATATATTTCTAGGGTTTACCCTTTTAGTCACTTAAATTTTTTCGTGGCTTAAGAAGGGAACTAAGTTGCGGGTAACTTGTCATTTTAGTCTTTTTATTTGTTTTAGCCGGTTTGGATAATAGATAAATTAAACTTGGGCCCCACTCATCTCTCTCTCTCCTAAACCGCTTTTTGACCTATCAAAGTCAAACGTTTCCTCACTAGATATGTGTTCATCGTCTCCAATGGCAAGCTGATAAAAAAGTATCAACTCAAAATCAGATCTCCACATACAAAATCAAAAACCCTGAAATTGTAATGAGAAAAAATGGAAAAGCACACACATTGTCGACCTTCTTTTGCCATGCGCATCATGAACTTACCGCAACCATCACCGCCATCTCCACAATTTCCTCTACCGGCGACAACAACTCATCTCAGAAATCAGTCGTGGGTATGACGGTCCATAAATCAGGAGATTTAGCCATATAGAGCGATGATCAGATCAATAGGGTTGGTGAGAGTTCTGGGAAATCAACTGACGGATTAAAGGGAAACGATGGAAGAAGAAATTCCATGATTGGTTAGCCCCAGTCTTGTCCCTTTTTGCTTCCTTTTGTAGTTTCTCTATCTTAGCAACAAACACTCTCGAGGAAGAGAGTAAGCTAGAAGATCTCCCGTGCAGATATCTGAGCTCAACCAAGAGGGCAGATGGTCCATCATATTTATAATCCATGGTAATGTCTTCAGTGTCTCCACTTTGCTTCTTCTGGTACTCACAAATTCGTTCGAGCAGATTTGATAATTGATAGCAGATTTTAAAGAACTCGTCTGCCATTAGATTCTCGTGCCCATCAACTGCCCCAAGCACTACATTTTGATTCCGACGAATAAAATCAGGAGCTATCATCCGCTGCATTGCAGCGTCACCACCAATCATAAAAATATTTCTATATTTTTAATAATACTTATTCCTAAATATTTCTATATTATTTAGTTTATTTATAGATAATTTAATAATACTTAGTCCTAAATGTTTTTTTCGTCAAATTAATGAGAGAGAGAGAGTATATATATATATATATATATATATATATATATATATATATATATATATATATATATATATATATATATATATATATATATATATGGGAAAATGACGTATATGCCCTATTATATTTCTAGGGTTTACCCTTTTAGTCACTTAAATTTTTTCGTGGCTTAAGAAGGGAACTAAGTTGCGGGTAACTTGTCATTTTAGTCTTTTTATTTGTTTTAGCCGGTTTGGATAATAGATAAATTAAACTTGGGCCCCACTCATCTCTCTCTCTCCTAAACCGCTTTTTGACCTATCAAAGTCAAACGTTTCCTCACTAGATATGTGTTCATCGTCTCCAATGGCAAGCTGATAAAAAAGTATCAACTCAAAATCAGATCTCCACATACAAAATCAAAAACCCTGAAATTGTAATGAGAAAAAATGGAAAAGCACACACATTGTCGACCTTTCTTTTGCCATGCGCATCATGAACTTACCGCAACCATCACCGCCATCTCCACAATTTCCTCTACCGGCGACAACAACTCATCTCAGAAATCAGTCGTGGGTATGACGGTCCATAAATCAGGAGATTTAGCCATATAGAGCGATGATCAGATCAATAGGGTTGGTGAGAGTTCTGGGAAATCAACTGACGGATTAAAGGGAAACGATGGAAGAAGAGATGAAATCGAAGTTAGGTCTCGTAAGAAAAAGAAAGGGCGTAAAAGGGGAGACAAATTAGGGAAAGTTTCAAAGAGGGGCAAGAATGCGACTCTAGTTTGTTAAATCCGATGATGATGCTGATGATCATGTGGGGCTGAATGAACCCTCCCCTCTGAATCATTGTGAATTTAGAACTGAAGAGACTTCTGGAAGTGGAAAGGTCGAGAAGAAATTGCGAAGCGGGAGATCTTCAAAAAGAGGCAAGAACACGAATCGAAATAGCCTCATTTGAAAATGGATTTGTTGTCTCAAGTAAGTTTTTTTTTTTGGGGGGGGGGGGGGGGGGAAAGCTTGGATAATAAAAGCTCAAGAACAAATGATTCACAACATAATAGTGATGATGATGATATGCTTTCATTATTGGGGGTAATGTTAAATCAAGCAGGAGCCACAGGAGGAATGACAGTTCTGGGAAGACGATTCATGAAGATAAGTTCGTGACTTCACATGGTTGTCTCCTTGATGAAAGTGATGACCATAAACGTATTACATTAGATGATGATATTACATGTTTGGATGACATTGATCCCTCCCATAGCTCACGTGTTGGAAGCAATGAGGTAAAGTTAAGCCTGATGGAATTGGATTCCATTCAAGCAGATGATAATGAAGGTGATGATACACAAGAGCTAAAGTCATTTGAAGAAGACGACAGTGATTTGCGGGATTTGGACCCACCTGAGAATGCTAATGTTGTTGGTGGTAAGGATATTGAAGTTATCCGTTTGAGAGAGAGAGAGAGAGGGGGAGAGGGAGAGGGGAATGTTGTGGGCCTCTTTTATTATTTTTAAATATTAAAATATAAAAATAAGTGAATTGTCGTAAGGGGACTAAAAATGACCGGCTGACCCCTTCACAATTGAAATAAGGACTTAATCGACCCGACAAAGTGTAATTTGTTCCCTTATAAAGCCACAAAATAAGTTAAATAGCTAAATGGGTAAACCCTAGAAACATAATAGGGCCTATATGTCATTTTCCCATATATATATTATATATATATATATATATAATATATATATATATTATATATATATATATATATATATATATATATATATATGGAGAGAGAGGGAGCTAAAAGTATTTTTTTGAAACTGAGAAGGATATAAACTGTAAGTAAGATTAAATTAAAGGGCTATAACTATAAATATTAAATATTAACAGGAAATGGTTAATGGGCACGAATTCGTAGATACCTCGTACATACTTGTGAGACATTTGAAAGATTTCATCACTTTCAAAGTCACTTTTACCAACCTTCTGTAAAATTAACATGTCTATTATTTGATTGGTTGAAAATCTTAAAAGCAAGTAATATTAAAATATATCACCTAACAAATAATTATTACGAGGGTAAATATATAAAATCAGGTAGGAATAACATATCCCTTTTCAAAACATAAGAACATGTTGAACCGTCGAACTGTAAGATGACCGGTTTGATCTTGGTTCCGGTTTTCAGCACCTACATCGAGAGTAGGTGGCAGTTTATTTTTAACCTCTTTCCGTTATCCGGCGTGCGAAATCCACTCTCACATCTACAAGTAGTCACGAGATGGGTCAGACGGTTAGCAAAGCGCCTATGTCCACTCTCATATTCAGCGCGTGGTTCTCACGCCTCGAACCATCACATGGCACGTACCTTACTTGGCCCCCACCTGAAGACTGCTATCTGTGACACGTGAGCATCGCAACCCAATCCAACTACCACCTGTCTTGAGTGTCATCAAGTAAACTCCTCATAACTTTTCTCTCACCTTAAGCCACACACAACCCCTTCTTTCTCTCTCTCTAATCCAACGCCTTTTTGAATGTAAATGAAAATCAATCTTCATCTCTTCTATTTTCTATCAATTGTTGCTTTCATTCAAACCTCTTTCTCTCAACCCATTTCTCATATAGTACTTTCGTCTTGTTTGATCTTTGCTTCTCTGAAAACATGTGTTCAGTTTTCCTTCTCTTGGTCGTTTGCTCTTTATTCACATCGTCGTCACCTCCATTTTCACTCTCAAAATCAGCTAGTTTCAAGAATTCCTCCCTCTATCTTGGGTATCGAAGAGGTCCAGAATCACAAGGTTGGTTGAATCATATGCAAACTCCGAGTTCATCATCATCTTCATCACCTTCATTTCCACCCTCAAAATCGACTAGTATCAAGAACTCCTCCCAGTATCTTGGGTACGGAGGAGAATCACAAGTTCTTTTCAATCATGTCATCTTAAGACAAATTCCCAGTTCGACAATCGAGATTTTATCAACAAATTCCAGCCAAGTTTCCATTTCATCAACAAATGCGACCAGCCATCGTTCTCACCAAGTCATGGCTATGATTTTTCTTGGCTCTTTAGGGGAGATAACTTTAACTGGTTTGGCCGTTGCTTTCTTTATGTTTTCAATACAGAGAAGAGGGAAGAACAAAGTTTCTTGGATTCCTATTAACAACTTGCGATTATCAAGCATCAAATCAGCCATAAGAGTGGCTGATCAAAGCCTCATCATGGATGGAAATTTCAACTCCAGAATTTACCATGCAAATCTTAAAGGTTACGGGGATGTTGGCATAACCAGGTTTAGAAAACCGAATCAATCGATTATCCTGAACAATCTCTCAGTTGGGTGTGTAACCCAGAACATGGTTCAGTTTCATGGCTATTATTGTGACAAAGATTTATATCTGGTACATGAATGGATGCCACTGGGATCACTTGACAGGCTTTTGCTCCGGCAAACCGGCGGCCTTACATTTGACCGGCGACTGAGAATACTCTTACAGATCTCTGCATGTATTGAGTACTTGCATGAAGATTGCGGAACCCCAATAAGTCATAAAGATATTGCAACTTCTAACATAATGGTTGATGCAGATTTCAACGCAAAGCTATGTGATCTTGGTTTGACGGAAATTTTTAATAAGATCGACATAAAGTTTCCTACTTGTAGGGTAGGTTACTACTCACCGGAGTATCTATTTTCCGGTGTTTCATCGCCTAAAACTGATGTGTATAGTTTTGGTGTGGTGGTTTTAGAGGTGGCGACCGGGAGGTTGGTGGTGAATGAGCCGGTTAAAGAATGGGTCTGGAAGTTTTGGGAGAAAAACAACCTAGTTGCTACAGCAGACCCAAAAATGATGGGTATGTTCGTGAAGAATGATTTTGAGAGGATTGTTATGACAGGCTTAATCTGTATGCACTCAAATTGGCGTAAAAGACCCACCATAAAAGATGCAGGAAGGATGAGGTGTTGCCCGATTTGCCAGACAAAATGCCTATACTGAGTATCGAGTCGCTTATACCATAGTGTTTGCTTAAATGGCTAAGAGAAAGTTTTTTTTTTTTCGGGAAAATGACTCAGACAAAATGTTAAGTTAGTTGGACTATTGGGATTTTAAGTCATTTTCCCTTTTTCTTCTTAAAAGTCATCATTTGTGATAATGAGTTGATTCTGTTCAACATGTACGTGTGACTATTTCCATGTAATAACCAAATAAAGACAAAAATCCATGCATTTTTTTTTTCTAATGTTGCTCCAAATTCCCAACCCATAGTGCTCTTGCTTTTACTTTGGTCGAGGACTTTCCTTTCTTGACAACAGTGCCATTCCTTCCCCACGTGAAGTTCATAGATCAATTCTTTAACCATTTTCCTTGAATTTAATATGAATCATGTCACTTAAAAGTTAAAACAAGTCAAATATCTTTTCACAAATGACATATCTTCCTTTTTTGGCATGCACACGTTGTCTTCAAATCGAAAGAACCATTTTCACATTCCACACGATCGACTTACATGTTTCATTTTTTGTAATTGACGGCTATTTTCTTTGATGAAAATATTGTGCCCTTTGATTCCTCTTCCTCTTGACTTTGTTCTCCTTCGACTTACCATGTGATTTGTTCTTTCTTGTCCCCTTTGTATGATCCGCCAAAAACTGACACAAGAGATGATGCATAACTTTTGACATGTACCAACACCATCCTTGCACTCTTTCTCTCGTCATTTTACAAATGCACCCACGTAGCTCAAGAGTCAAGACAGCTTGTTCCCTCTTTGAATTTTAAAATCAAGCGTTTATTTTCCTCTGTTGATTGTGACAACCACACAAATCCAACGTTTTTTTTTCTTCATTTGAATAACCATGGAGGACCAACCAAACATCATCATCATACATGCTTAGCTTTAAGGCTTAAGGAAGCGGTAACACTCCCAGCACACTGCCACATCAACTTTTTTGCTGCCATATAACAACTTTTCTTTAGCATTTCATAAGGAGTGGTAGCATCCTTAGCACTCCTTGATTTCTTTTTCTTTTTCAAACTTTAATAAATTATATTTTTTAAAACACATATTTCATATTAAATAAATTATATTTTTTTTAAAACACAAACTTAAATAAATTATGTGTCACACCCCAAAACCGGAACGGCGGAAACGTTAGGGGGCGGATGACGTCATATGTAGTATCACAACAAATGCATAATATTAATCAAAGCAACAACATTCATAGTATAGATGTTAAAGTATTTACATCGAGTTCAAAACATTACATGTTTAATATTCATATTGTATCAAAAGATAAGATGAGAAACTAGTGCTCCGTCATCACGAACTCCGGTGTGGATACCTGTCTTATTAGATTCCTGAGAATACAAGTATTTTGAAAGCGAGTATCAGCTATAAAGCTGGTGAGTGCATAAGATTTTGTTTAGAGAAAATATCTTCTTTTTTAATTGAATAAGTTTGAAAGATCTACAAGAAAATCCTATATTTTCTTAATGTAAAGTGTTACTGAACCAATTCCTTCTATAATCGCTTAGTTTATACTAATTACATATAATCAATACGAGACGGACAGTCGATTGTGTAATTCGGTCGTACCCCCACATCCAAACAAGGAAAAGGAAAGTAAAACTGAGCTCACACATTCTCCAATCTATCAGGTCTTCATCATGTATAACCCTACTGTATAAACTAAAGGATTATAGCTCTAACAAATAGTTATTTATGTTATACCAATTCTACCTAAGTGATGAGTCAATATCCATGATTACTTAGCTTATACACATTATGATATAATCAACATTTGGCGGATAATAAATTGTAGGGTTCTACCTTAGTTTCACATCCAAAAAAGGAAAAAAAACTAAGTTAGAAATCTCACATTCTATTGTCTACCAGATCTTCGTTATATATAACTCAGGAATGTATAAGCGAGGAGATCATAACATTAACCTTCTTAAGAATACTTTATAATGTACTATTTTACCTAGAAAATGTTACCATTGATCCCAAAGAATCCTATATTCCCTAATTGTTATTGAAAAGAAGTTTTATCCCCTAAAACCGTTCTACTGAATGTTGACGTACTGTATTATTGAATAGTTAGTTTTAACTCTTCATGAAACCGTCCTGTGAATGTATTAATATACTATGTAATAGTATAATTAGTCTCAGTTTATAATATAATCAATATACCTTGAAAAGACTACAATATGCTCGTTATGTTCCTCTGAACTGTACTCTAAATAGTGCTCTGAATAGTACTCTGAATACCCTATGCTAAGACTATCATGTGATTCACTTAGTACATACTAATTATATATAATCAGAAACTGACAGACAATTGATTGTGCGATCCTGTCGTACCCCCACATCCAAACAAGGAAAAGGAAAATAAAACATAGATCTCACATTCAATTGTCTATCAGTTTCTCATCATATATAACTTTAGTGTATATAGTAAGTAATCACAGAAACTACTACTTAAGACTGAACGATTAGTTATGTTCTCTTTATATACGGATCTGGTACTGTGGTCGTGTACCCATTTATATTTAAGGTTCGGTACTGTGATCGCGTACTCCTTTTATTAAGGTTTGGATGTGATGTGGTTGTAACCATACTATACGCTCTCACTCTACGAGAGACTCTGGTTAGAAAAAGCGACTTCAGCAAACGAATTACTAAGTCGTGAAGTAGACTTACATTCAAAGTTATCTTGTTTGTTATAGTATTAGTGTTCCTCCCTTAACTATACCCATTATAGTTTACTAGTAAGTTCTTTGTAATTGATTGACTGATCCTGAATGAATACCTTTGCTACCTAAAGGTATTGAACTGACTGATCCTAAATGAATACCTTTGCTACCTAAAGGTAATGAACTGACTGAATAGAACTTTTATATCTATATACATATACATAATATATAACTAAGATTTAAACGACATTCGGATAAACAACCGTTACTCTGAGTCCACATCCAAACAAGGAAAAGGAAATAAAGCTAGTAATCAGTCTTAAGTCCTTTAAGCATTACTTATATAACTATATCTATATAGACATCATTTATACACAATATAAGTTAAAAGATTTTATAAAACATTTAAAAGCATTTCCTAATATTTAAAAGAGTTTAATAACATTTAAAAGCATTTTCCAATATTTAAAAGAGTTTAATAACATTTAAAAGAATGTTCATGACTTAGTGTCATTTAAAATATTTAAAGAATTTTCATTTATAATAAGCACAATTTCTTGTGTTTAAACTTGTATTCCCCCCCCCCCCCCCCCTAAAACAGTGAAAAGTGATAAAATGTAGGGGTATGAACTCACCTTATGTTGGTGATCCAAATGATGATTCAAGTAAGGATGAGAAGTTCCACGAATGAAGTCCCGATACACAAACGAGTCCTAAATGACATATATTGGTACATATATGTGTATAATTAGTGTATAATACAACTAATCATGAAGGGAAACAACCTAAGGGACTAGGAAACACTTGAAATGAAGTGTATAATCACATATGATTGTATGAAAGAGGGTTCATGGCCACACACTTGGTGTTTACGGCCAATATAGATGAGTTTACGGCAAAACTGTGAGTTTACGGCCGTAAACTCATGGACATCATGCATAAGAGGGTGTTTTGAGGTCCTATCTATCATCCATTAGGGGTTCAAGGTCTTATGCTTGGACATGAGAAGGGTTTGCGGTCAAAAATGTGCCAAAATATGGGTTTACGGCCAAGGAAGATTCCATGGCCATAAACTCTTGATGTTTATGGTAAAGTGGTTGTTTCAATGATGTAATCAAGAGCTTCTAATAGAGATCAAGTATATGGAAAAGATACTTACGATTTGGAAGCTAAAAGAGGTGAATATGGCTCAAAGAACTAGTGTGTGTTCTTGGTGATCTAACCAAAAAGGGATGATTTCATGGATGAAAACATAGAGTGATACTAGATCAATGAGTGAATCAACTAAACAAAGGAAGAAATCACTTACATATTTGAAGATCAAAGTGAAAGGCTCGATGATACTTGAGAGAGAATGGAAGTTTCTTGAGTTGAAAGTGTGAGAATGAAAGAAAAGTGAAGGAAATGAGACTTAAGGGGGGAGTTTACGGCCAACCTTGAGTTTACGGCCGTAAACTCATGTGTTGTGGCCGTGAACTCCTTTTGGTGGTGTTTAAGGCTTGAATGTTGTACAGTGACTCTAGCAGGTACTTCCTAACACTCATTCCTTGAATGTACTAGGCTTAGAACACTCAAACAGACTCTAAACAGTGCTAAAAGATAGCAGAAACGAGTCTGACTTCCAGTTGATTATACTGACTTTTAAGGCAAAAAAAATTTCGGGTTGTCACATCATCCCCCTGTCAAAGGGAATTTCGTCCCGAAATTCAGAGTCGAAAGTGATTACTCATGAATTATCAAAAGGATAAATACTTCTGTTCCATCTGCATCTCTTGTCCTGATCGGTGGGGAGAGGTATTAGTTTGGATTCTAAGTTTATTCGTATGGTAGCACAATCACTCGTAGTCTTGAGCAGTCTCCGTCCTGAAGTTCATAATAGAACTCATACTTGGTTCATCAATCACAACCTCGTGTATACGAGTCATATATAACTAAGATTGAAAAGGCAGTCGAATAAATGATTCTTCTCTAAGCTCACATCCAAACAAGGAAAAGAAGTTAAAGCGGAATCATCATTTCTAAGCCTGTAGAACCTTGATTATGTACCACCCTTGCGTATACATTCCTCAGCGATAGATTAGCCATATGGGTCGTTGGTATTGAACTTGATGTATCGTACGAGTGGTATTCCGGGGTGGTCTGCTGAAGGTACTTCGAGAAAGTTACGAATCATAAGGCACCCTATGAAGGAGTACCTCAGAGTTTTGGAATGAAGGCTTCGCTGTAAAGTCGATTACGGGGAAAATAATTTTCGCACGAAACTGGCACTGTGAGGATCGAATCGACTCAAGTCAAATGAT